TGAGTCTCATGAACGACAATTCACCACAATTTTGGTAAAATTAATGTTGAAATGAAGAATATATTTCAGTCTAATGTTAGTGCAAAATATCATTAGGCCTTTGTAATCACCGCACGACGCGCGACTACCGTGGCAACTAACACGCGCGTGGGTAAATCGTCACGTACGCTGACGGTTTATGGTCTGGTTGCTATGGTTTTTGTGACGTTCAGCGTGTAGGGACGCACGTGCGCCTAGAATGTCGATGCCAGAGTTATAACCTTTGATGTCCAGAGATGTGTGTCCTTTTGTTGAATTAACCCCATCTGCTGCGCTATATTTTGGAGGAAGCCATCCCTTTCGACCAGTAATAAAAAAAGAAAAAAGATATTTGATCTCCCTTTAAAATGTCCAGGATCAGCCCCCTAAGTAAAGGGTACAGAACCGAGGAGAAACAGAACCTCATCTATGTAAATTTACATCAATTATAAATTTGTATCTAACTAATAATAATAAATTGGTTATACGTATTTATTTCAATAGAATGATTACAATGTTCATTATAAATGTATACTTAAATCTTCATTTAATTATATATTTACTATTAATTATATAGTATAAAGTGGTAAACAAATTCAAATACATGAAGGAATATATTAATTTAGGCATATAAATATTGTATGGTAATTCATAATATTATAAATAACAATATAATGTTAGTGCGAGAGATTATATCCTCTACTCTTAAGTATTATTATGTATGTAAAGTAACTTAAGCACACAGATAACTATGGCAAGCCCCAGCTGTCTTAAGCCTACAAAAAATATATTATTTACTTTTGCTAATATATTATTGACATTTATTATTATATTATATATGTTTATTATTATATTATTTACGTCTATTAGTATATTATGTACGTTTATTATTATATCATATATGTTATTATATTATACACATTTATTATTATATCATGTACGTTTATTATTATATTATATATGTTTATTATTATAATACAGTATTACTGTATGTACGTTCAGCATTAAATTACGTGTGTTTATTAGTATATTACGTACGTTTATTATATTATTTACATTTGTTATGTATGTTTGTTATATTATTTATTATTATATATATTTATTTATTAATTATTATATTCTTTACATATCTGTTAGTATATTATGTACTTTTTATTATATTATATATGTTTATTATATTATATACGTTTAATATTATATCATGTATGTTTAGTAATGTAATATAATACTAACGTACATAATATAATAATAAACATTTCATTTTACTTTGCTGACTTGATAATTTTTGGAGCCTTAGCACCTGTTGTTACCGTATTCACCGTGATAGTGTTTTGCGTCTCGTTCATATTCTGCGTAAATAATAGTAAGGTGCTAATAACGCTATAAATTATCAAGATACATACAAGTACTGTATATCAATTGATAAGTAATTTGCTCAATAAATAACTGTTCAAATTAATTTGGTATCTTTAGAATAAATTCTGTTCTTTGGAAAATATACATCAGTTTCGTTGTAGTCATTTCAGTCTGATTGCATCTTATTATTAACTACTGTATTTTGGTTATTTCGGTTATTTCATACTGTAAACACCTGACAAGCACATTTTGCGAGTCAAATTAGCATTATAATAATATTGTTTATTTAAGTATACAAGAAGAATAAAAAAGAACGAACTGAAAAAACACCAAGAGCGGCTTAGAATTGTACTGGAAATTATGTGATAATGATAATAACACATTATTATATTATACTAAAATGAATATATTTATATATATATAATTTTAT